TTACTAGTGAACGGCCAGAACCGCTGAACCGTTCAAACCGAACCGACTGAAAACCGGGAAACCGAAAAAAATCGCATTTTTTGTTTTTTTTTAAATTAAACCAAACGACGTCATTTGTTAAACGAGGCAAGTCGAACTTGAGTATTGCTGAGCTCGACTCGAACTTGAAAAATTTAAAAGTAAACTCAACTCAACTCAAACTCACGAGCTAAAAATTATGAAGTTTAACTCGAACTCGAAATATAATATTGAAACTTGAATTCGAAAAGGCTTGAACTCAAAAAAAAAATTAGAAGCTCGATTAAAGCCTAAGATTCGAGCTTGATTGAAGTAAAAGAATAGTTCACTCAATGTTCACCAAACCATGATTTTGAATGCTAAATTACCTCTATTATTTATAGAAGTTAGTTAGGATGATCTTCTATATTTCTTAGCCATGTGAAATTATTTTAAAAAAAAAATTAAACCAAACAATATTATTTTGTTATGATTTTTTAGCCCCAAATTTATTTTTTAATTATAGTTATATAATTATATTTATTATTTAATATGTTTTACCTTAAATATTATGTTGTAGTTAATTTGAATCATTTTGTTTTACTTGATTTTATGGTTTTTAACTTATATATGTTATGACTTGTTTTGAATATGAATTGTGATATAAAAAATTATTTTTTATTAAATATTTTTTATATTTTTATTTAATTTTTTAAATAATTATGACGTCGTCCGGTTCTTCCAACCGGTCAGACCGGTTCGACCGGTTGAACCAATGAACCGATAGCATGACCGGTTCGCTAACCGATCCGGTTCTGAAAACCATACTTCCTAACAATAAATGCCATCTCGATTTCGACTTTTAAAAAGAAATTAATTTCTACAAAATGTATAAAAAATTAAAATATATATATAATAATAAGTGACGAGAGAATAGTATTTTTGAAACTCATTGGTTCGTTAAAGGTACAATAAAAGTAATTTAATTGACACGTTCTCGGTTGATATGACACAGAGATTGTTAAATCGTGGATAGTGGACCAAAATATCCGAGTAACAAAAGAAAGAGAGGAGAGTGATTGCGGTAGCATAATAACATATAGCCCATCGATGGTATATACAATACAAGCTTTGAAGATGGTGATTGGCCCTTTTGACATAGCTCAAGCCCAATTATAGACCCAAATTTATCTTTCTTTACATTATTGGATTATGTTGTTTTCTAGGTTTAGTTTTATTTAGGGATGACAATAGATCGAATCAGATTTTTGATTCACTTGAAATTGATTTGAAAATTAAAGTATTCAATCTGTACATGATCCAATCTGAATTTAGGAGGACCTCTACTCGACTCAATATTTGAGGTTAAAATTCACTCCCAACCCAACTTGACCTAAATATGTATATAAACAAATTATTTTTATTAGATAAAATAAGGATATAATTAAAAAAATTGTACACTTTACACTACCAACATTTATCTAAATCTAAACATTATATTTATTTAAAAAAGTGCATAATTGGGATCTTATCTTCCAAATGAAAATGTTTAGTCTTTGTTTTGAAAGAAGTAGTGCACATGCAGTCACATGTGCAAAACTCACATTCTACCCTTGGACCCAACTTTGCTTCACTCTCATGCGACCAAAAAAATCCCAAAAAACAAAAACCATGGAGGAAAATGGTGGGTTACCTTTGCCTCCAAGGTAACGTGAGAACAATCGAGGACACATGGGATCTGAGCATCACCTCATGCTAAGAGACTGATCTACTTTAATTGGGTGATCCACCCTAAAGACTTTTTTTTTTATGATTTTCATATAGTTTTGATCATTAAATGTAACTAAATATTATAAACATTTTATTAAATCAATTCAAAATAATCATTAAAACTTATCGAATCATTATAAAATAATTTATCAAAATTTATCATTATTTTATAACGTGTAGTGACCATTTTGTAACAATTCGATAGTTATTTTAAAAATTTTGAAAACTTACTGTTTAAAAAGTTATTTTAATATTATTTAGTTATAATTTATCAAAAAGTAAAATAAATGATTTTAAAGCTCAAACCTAAAGTCAAAAGTTAAAAGAGGATAGTGTTATTGGGAACTTTTCCAGTTGTAGGAGGAGACAAATGCTAATGTTGCCTATAAAAAACTAAAGCAGCTTTTGAAGATTGATCGCCTCATTTGACCGTTTCTTTCAAATAATCAAATGTGTTTTAATCTCTGTTGGAGAAGTCGGTAAGATTTAATCCAAACATCTCCTTCTTTCGATAACTTTTCCCCTGATATTTATAATACTGACCCCGTCAGATACGGCCGGGATTTACCTATTGAAATTTTATGAATTAATATCCAAATCTTATCGTATTTAAATACTGTTAAATCAACTGAGCTCGTTGGATCAAAGCAGTAATTAGATAATTGTATTCTGCAATAAAGCAACATACTTGGAAAGTAATATAATATTTATAGGAGAAGAACAAAAACTAAAATGATAGATTTTCTTAAACACGAGAGTTAAATTTATTGAATTAGGACTAATTTGATAAATTATATAAGTTTTAAGGATTAAAACTATTATTATACCATATCACATCATTTTTGCATCTAATATTTAATGGTAAAGTGACATATTTATAGCAATGTTTTAATTAAATGATCAATTTATAACAATATTTTAATTGAGTAAATAATTTATAACTTTTAAAAAACGACATATTTGTTACCAAATCTATAATAACATATCCTTGGGTGAAGTTTTCCTATTTAAAAACAACTTTTTTCATTTGACAAAATGTCATAATATCTACTATATTATTTAAAAATCACTAATTTTATTCAAAATATAAAATATTCTAAATTAGGATAAAGATTTACAATCATAATCGTAAATTAAATATATAATTAGGACAATTTCCTATAATCATTGAAATAAAATTAGTAACTTAATATTACATAAGGACCATACAAGGAAAAATTAAAATCTAACCAAGAAAACTTAAACAAAGATAAATACAGACATATCTGATCGCATCGACAAATGAACCACAAAAAAAGATCAAATTACTGAAGGACCACTGACAAACAACGACAAAATATAAGTGAAAACAACGGTCAAATGACCGAAAAACGTGCCAAAAAGTAAAAGAAAACTTGTCATAAAGGTAGTAAAAACTTGTTATAAAGACAAACTTATTAAAAATAAAAAAACAATAGAAAATAAAAGAACAATAAAGAATATCAGTCAACCAACCTTAAAATTGTTACCGCCACCAATCAACAAAGACAAAAAAGGAAAAGAAGAAGAGATAAACAACTTACCAATAAGAGAAAAATCTTTCAAATTTATCTCTATTGTTTTACTTAAACAAATAATAATTGATTATTTCATATATTTTAATTATGTTGTAAAATAGTGGTAGGAATTTAATGGTTTAGATTTTGAAAATAGGAAGCGGTTTAGTTGAAAAATAATAAGTTTATAAGACCTTATTCATCATTATGGTTATTATTATCTTTGAATTTAAACCCACACAATGTCATAATCTTTTTTTTTATATTGACTATAATCAAAGTCTTTTTCATCAAAGGTAGGATGTGGGGTTCACATTTATTATAGAAAATGAAAATTACAGTTATTAAACAAAATTCAACTATTCCATTGTTAAATTAATTTTTAATTTTTTTATTTATTATTTGATTGTTATTTAAAGTTTTAAACCATATTTAAGCTTGAATTATATTTTTATAATAATTAATTATGATCATAATTATTTGAATGAATGTTTGTATATTTATAAAATTAAATATGTTTCCTCATATCTATATATATATAATATTTCCATTGAGATTAGTCTGTTAGGTTGACGGTTACCCACTGCCTCCTATATATACGAATAACTCTCTTAAAAATCAACAACCGCTTCTTTTTGTTTATAAGGTAAATGCTAATCTCAGTTTAGTTAAACTAATTTCATCAAATGTTTTCAAAGGTTAAGCGAAACTAAATATAGAAAACAACAATTTTTTTCTTCTGATTGTGATTAAATCCTTGATTATAAAGTAATTTATAAGACTTAAATGTCATGTTTAATTTACTAGGTTACATAAAAATTAATTAGAGCCCGATAATATAGCCATACAGATATTTATAATCTTCTCTTTTGTGATATAGATATCTATAATTTTCTTATTCAGAAATCTGAAGTATTTCATGAAAATATTATCATAAAATCTAAGCCTTAATTGGAAAATCGAGATTAATTATCTTTCCTAATTTAATTTTACTATTACGAAAAAATTATAAAAAAGATAAAATACTTTTTAATCACATGTGTTTATAACTTTTACTAATTTAACTTTGAATCACATATTTATAAAAATTAAAATTTAAAGTTTAAAATTACGAATGACCCTAACATGTTTAAATCAAAACCTATTCAATAAAAATATTTTAAGTAATAAGGTTTATATAAACATAATATCTTAAATATAATTACACATATCGAATTTTTTTTAATTAAAATACAAATGATAATTTATATAAAAAGATATTTTAAAGACTATATATATATATATTTCTCTTACACACCAGTCGCGCGTTTAATATTCAAACGGCGGGTCACGTATACGAAACATTTCTGTGTAAATAATATACTGTAACAATAATTCCAGATTTTATTTAATTTTCTTTTCAGAAACATCTCTCCTTCTCAGTTCTCAAGTTTCAGATTCGTTCTTTCTTTAAGATCCCACTCAAAGAATTTACTCTCTCATCATTTTCCACTGTTGCTTTCTCTTTTGCTTCTCCTTGCTCCAAGGAGAGTATGCAACCGAAGTAATGTATTTTAAAAGAGGTACCCTTCAAAGTTAGTTTCATTTCATTTATAGAAAACAAATTCTGGGTTTTTTTTAAAAATTATTTCTGGCCTTGTTGTCTTGTTTTCATGGGTTAAAAGTTTTCTGTTTCTGGGTTTTTTTCTCTCCTTCCTTTCTTGTTTTTTACTCTGTTTGGTTGGTGAGAAAGCTTAGGAAGAGAACTTGGAAACTGAAAGTAAAAGAAACTTATATAGGTTTTACTTAAAAGCTCTTTGCTTTCCTCGAGCCTTTTTGGAGTTGATAAACTCTATTTTCTTAGTAACCATACAGATCAGTCTATGATATTCTTGTTTTTTATTCTATAGTCAGCGGAAAGTTTTAGTTTACGATTCATAATAATTAATAGGTTTCTGACCAATGCTAATCAGATCAAGTATATTTTTCAAATCACAAGCTTTAGGAAAATTATTGGTTTCCTTTTTTCACTGAATTTTGTTTTTGGGGGTATTTCCTATTGTTTTCCTTCTAAGTTCATGTGAATTGGAGCAGTTTTGGTATAAGACCATTCAGAAAGTTCTATTTGTAATGTTTATTAGTTTTGACATTTATTCCATTTGCTGTGAAAAATGTCATGAAATCTCTAAACTTTACCTTTTAGCTTTAGTTAAATTAGCATTATTTGACTCTGAATTGCATTACAGATTTTGATAGTTTAGAATTGGCTTGATTTTGACCCCAGAATTGTCTTTGCAGTTGTTTCAATGGACTGGAGGTTTGAATAGGAAATAACACAAGGAGTAGATATGAGAGGGGAGTCATCTGGTTTGATCATTGGGATTTCTATAGGAGTGGTGATCGGTGTGCTTTTAGCTATTTTTGCACTAATCTGTATCAGGTATCATAGAAAGAGATCCCAGATAGGAAACAGCAGTTCCAGGAGAACTGCAACAATCCCCATCAGGGCTAATGGAGCAGATTCTTGTACTATGTTATCTGATTCAACTATTGGCCCTGATTCACCAGTGAAATCTGGAAGAAATGGAATGTCGGTGTGGCTCGACGGGCTTAGAAAAAGCAATGTTGTCTCTATGTCTGGAATACCCGAGTACTCGTACAAGTATGTTTCTTTTGAAAGTTATTGTACTTATGCATCATGATAGTTAATTTTAAGGGGTATTCATTTTTAACAAGTACTTTTCCTTAGTTTTATGTGAATTATGAGTTAACAAGATGTGTTAGTAATTGGTTTGTTTTTTTATCAATGTGATATGATATATGAGTTAATCACCGTGGGAGATTAATTTTGTGGTCCATTCGTAAATCGACTTTGCTTAGTTTTACCATGTCATGTATTTGTGTCCCGACATAGATAGCTTGATAGGAATTTTCAAGGTATTCCTGTTTTGGAATATGTGAAGTTTGTTTTCAGTAAAAGCGAGTATTCTTGATGAGAAACTAATTGGATTTCTCGCAGTTCAATAGTTTTGATATCAGTCCCTGAATGTACGAATGTGTTTGAGCCCTTCATACTTTTTGTTCTTGATATGGAAAACTAGTAGTGTAGTTGGATGGTTTGAGGCATGAATGTGTTCATCTTTTGCATGAACTTCTTACTTTGTTCTATGCTAATTCGTTCAAGGTGTTACTTGTACAGGGATTTGCAAAAAGCAACTTATAATTTTACAACACTAATTGGACAAGGAGCCTTTGGTCCAGTTTATAAAGCTCAGATGTCAACTGGTGAGACTGTTGCAGTGAAAGTGCTTGCTACTGATTCCAAGCAAGGGGAGAAAGAGTTCCAGACCGAGGTAGGGACAGTCTATATTTCCAGACAACTTATATTTTTCCTTTTTTTAAAATGGGTTTATTGATTGTATTTCTCCATGTGTGCTTTTTGTTGTTCCTTCCTGCACTCTCCTGCTTGTTTAATGTTTCATCCTCCTTTCAGGTTAAGTTGTTGGGAAGACTGCATCACAGAAACCTTGTAAATTTGGTCGGATTTTGTGCAGAAAAGGATCAACATATGCTTGTCTATGTGTACATGAGTAAAGGCTGCTTGGCTTCTCATTTGTACGGTAAGTACGCTGTCAACTCTCTCTGTAGAAAGATTAGTATAATTTGAATGGCCTAAGCTGAAATATTGTGTTATTATGTCAATGCTAAAAAAACTCGATTAATGAGCTGGCCGACCTTGCTGGCACTGTGATGTCATCATTGCCTTGTGTGAAGCATCCATCCTAAAACCATTTCATAATAGGTTAAGAGACTCAACTTGAATATAAGACCATAGGAAAGGCGGTACTTAATAGAGGTTGGATTACATCGGTTAGCGCTTCTGTGTAGCTCAACAAGGGCCGACATGGACAACCTTACAAGTGGTGGTCAATCTCACATGGAGTTACGCAGGAAGAAAAAATACGCTATTCTTTATTACTAAGTAAAGCGTCTAACAGAAAATCAACAAGTAATAGGTGGAGTGTCCAACTCAAATATGGGACCGCGGGAAATCAAGTACTTACAATATGTGGGATAACATCACCTAAAACTTTACATTCTTGAATTATGCTAATGAACTGGTATGGTGAAAATAAGTCTACGAGTATGCATTTAGCTTTGTATTGTAACGCTTCGAGAAGTTAGGGTTTAGGAGGAACTTTATAGTTGCCGGTTCATTGAAAATTTGATTCGTATACGCTAGCTTCTATTGATAACTGAATTTCATCTTTGTGCAGGTGAAAACCATGAACCTCTGAGCTGGAATTTAAGGGTCTATATCGCTTTAGATGTAGCAAGGGGCTTGGAATATCTTCATGATGGGGTAATATTTTTTCTTACTTCGACTATAAATGAACCTATCCACGTTTGCAGGCATGCATTAACAGATTCTTTAGCATACATTTTGTGTTTTTGGAAAACATTTGAAACGCATTCCTATTTCTTTTCCAGGCAGCTCCTTCTGTAATACACCGGGACATTAAGTCTTCCAATATTCTGTTGGATCAGTCCATGAGAGCCAGGGTATATTCTTGCAGACTGTTAGTTATATCTTGCTCTAAGGTTGGATAAACCTTTTAAAAGATTGGTATGGTTAATTAAATTATTGAATATATTACCGTCTTGAGCAGGTAGCTGATTTTGGGCTTTCAAGAGAAGAGATGGTGGACAAACATGCAGCGAACATACGAGGAACATTTGGATATCTTGATCCGGAGTATATATCTACGAGGACCTTTACAAAGAAAAGTGATGTTTACAGCTACGGGGTATTGCTGTTTGAACTCATAGCTGGCAGAAATCCATTACAGGGTCTCATGGAATACGTTGAGCTAGTAAGATCTCTCTTTCACATTCTCTCGTAAAAGTTAAGGTTCTATATCCATGTTTTTCCTGAATATAATTGTGATATAACAAACAGGCAGCTATGAGTACTGAAGGGAAAGTCGGGTGGGAGGAAATCGTGGATTCGCGATTGGATGGGAAATTCGATGTGCTGGAGCTCAACGAAATAGCAGCTCTTGCATATAAATGCGTGAACCGTGTTCCGAAAAAACGACCTTCAATGAGGGACATCGTGCAAGTGCTAACCCGAATCCTTAAAACAAGACACAGCAAGAAACATCAGAAGTTCCTATCTGCAACCGCGAATGAGGTTTCAAACGACTTAGAGCAAGGAGAAACTAAGAATCAAATAACCGAACACCAGAGAGACGAGTCCATGGACAGCACAGGTGGCACCTTTGAAATGTAACCAGTGGTTCTTCCATTTGTTAACATGTTTCTTGGATTTGATCTTTTTGTTTTGTGTGATAGGATGTTCAGACGTGAAGGAGGGTGTGTTTGTAGTATTGGAATTCTCTTTTGAGTGAGTCTTTAGGGTAAAAGGATTGTTTATAATTTGTTGTAACATGATTAGATTTTCCTCCTTTCATTTCCTCATCTAATTTTTGTATATTAGTACTTCATAAATGAAAGTATAGATAATCCCAATTCAGATAAAGTTGACAGATAAAAGGATCGCTTTGATATCACTTATCATATAGAATTATTGTTTTTTTCTCAAAAGACATTTGATAGGATGTGCATCATCATCGTTTATAGATTCAAGATCTTTTTTTTTTTTTTTAATTCTGATGTGAATTTAATGTCTCCTATCTCTCTGAAGCACGACATTAGTCGATAAGGATTTTTGATATCATGTAAAATTTAATATTTTAATCTTAAATTTATAAATATAACTGTTGATTTCATGTAACTTTATTTTTAATTTAATTAGGTATCTAACTTTTTTGTGTAATTAGGCATCTGATCTTTATTTTTTTAGTCTATTTAGGTACCTAACATTACTTGTTCAATGATGATTAGTTCATACTTATAATTTTGTTGTTTATTTAAAATGATAATATGTTACATAACTCAAAAGTTAGACATTGTAATTCTAAATATGATTTAATAATCTCTAGATCTCCGTTGACAATTTTTCTTCCTCTTTTCTTACGTGAGAATTATGTATTTAAAAAAAAATATGTACTTAAAAAAATGTTAGATACCTAATAACAACAAAAAAATAAATAAGTACTTAGACTATTGAAAAAGTAGGTACCTAATTGCATCATTAAGAAAAATTAAGTATCTAATTGCATAAAAAATAAATTAGGTACCAGAAATTAAATATTACATGGGTTCAATCCCCATTAGAAATAAAAAATTCCCTTCTCCATAGTTGGGTGATGAATAGTGTACTATACCCAGTTGAGAAATGGTTTTCAATGATGAAATCTATTGAATTCCATTATGAAGCCCAATGTCCATCTTTTTGGCCCCATGTCCAAAACTCTGTCGTTTCCAACACCATCTATCCTTCGTTATCCGCAATTTCCACGCCCCATATTTATCGTCATCACCAAAACATTAGCTCTCCACAGCTCGAATTACTGAACAGTTGAAGAAGGCAAAAATGGCAGCCATGGCTGCGTTGCAAAGCTCAATGAATGGTCTTTCTCTGTCCTCTAACCCCTTCTTTGGCCAACGTCTCTCTATTCCTCCTCCTCTCTCCCCTCTTCATGTAAGTTCCGTTCTTCACCCCTCCGTCCCTTTCAATTCCATCGATTATTTTGCTCTAATTTACTCATTTTCAGTTCTTTTGAGTATATACGGAAATGGGTGTTTCATAATTTTCACTCCTTTGTAGTTTTTAATCTTTTTGAGTATATATGTAAATAGTGATTAACTGTTCATGTGATATACATTGTGCTTTGTAAGATTGATGAATGTTCTTCAGTTTAGAGATGTCGTTTTGATTTGTTAGATCGTCCTAGGTTATCTCTATACTTGAAATCTTTATAGTCTAGAAGGTCGGTAATTGACAACCCCTATAGCTTGTAAGCAGGGATGAACACGGTATTATATGATTTATACTAGGGTGCGAACTTTAACTTATATTAGAAATTTAGGGATGCGAAATTAAATTACCAATAGAAAATTTAGGGGTGCGACCACACCCTCTCTGTCCATCTCTGCATGTAACTTCCATTTCTTGCTGGATTTTATGTGCAATAATTTTTAATCTAACAGATGAATAAGAGAAATGAAATGAGAGTGTGCTTTGTTTACTTTACAGTTGTTACATGTGGTAATACTGAATTCTTCTTTGCATACAGAAATTTCAAACGTTTGTTGAAATTTCGAGCTCTTTGGCCCTAACATTATTCTTAAACTAGAGTTTGACTCACTCTGCATTTCGTCTGTTATGAGATCACTGGGAATTCTTTTGGTAATAATTCACTGTTTTTATTCCATGCAGATCAAGCCAAGAGAGAATCCATGTCTCATTGTAGTGAAGGTCGTTATTCTGCTGCCGTTTATTTGTTCAATTCCTTCTGTATTTTAACCGAAATTTCCATGCAAAGAGGAAAAAGCATGAACCATGGAAACACTATAGCTGAGCACTTGCTGTTGCCCTTTGATTAAGTAGCTTAGCGTTTTTGTGGCAATAACACATGCGAATTAAACTGTTTCGTGGTGGAATTTTCAGATGGAAGACTTTCGGTCTTTCATCGATAGATAGAAGGGATATACTTGCATATTAATTTTGGATTTCCTAATCCAAATTACGTGTCTGTTCATGCTAGTAAATGCATTGTTAGTTTAACAGATGAGCTCTACGTAAATACGTTCCAGCCTTATAAATTATGGGGTTTATTGTGAATTCTGCATTCTCTTTGAAAAGAGTATTATTGTGGGGCTCCTTGTATTGTTGTCTTACATGTTTGGTTTTCCATGGTATTTACTATTTCTTGTTTTTTCTCCTTTGTATCTCACAGCTTAAACGATGGGAACGGAAGGAATGTAAACCGAACAGCCTTCCGGTTTTGCATAAAATGCATGTTAAGGTCGGAGATACAATTAAAGTGATTTCAGGCCGTGATAAGGGCAAGATTGGAGAGATAAGCAAGATCTTTAAGCATAACAGCACCATTGTAGTGAAAGATATAAACCTGAAGACTAAGCATATGAAGAGCAGAGAAGAGGGTCAACCGGGACAGATAATCAAGGTCATTTATACTAATTCCAGTTTTTTATACTACGGTTATGGTTACTAGAAACTGCGAATATTTTTAACAGCAGACATCCTTTTCTTCCCTCCCTGTATGTATCTAACGCTTGAATTGTGTGGTGTTCCAGATCGAAGCACCGATTCACAGCTCAAACGTGATGCTCTATTCGAAAGAGAAAGAAGTGACTAGCCGGGTGGGTCATAAAGTGTTGGATGACGGGGAAAAAGTCCGGTACCTCGTAAAGACCGGAGAAATCATCGACAGTGACGAAAACTGGAAGAAACTGAAGGAAGCTGCCAAAGAGAAAACTGAAGTAGCTGCTGCTGCTCCTGCTGCTGATTCTACTGCTGCCTCCTAGAACCAATAATGTCATAATTTTGAAAACTATTGTGGCTTCTGGAATTCTAGATGCATTTATCTGTAGTCTTCCATGTTTATGCTTCAATTACTTTGAAATATATTTGAAAGATTGCCAATTCTTTTTTGCTAGTAGCAAATATTTCTGTTGATCATCGATATGTACAAGTATTTGTGTTGTGTTTTATACTATTTTTCATGTCATATTTGTATGTCTTTAGAGTATTACTAAATCTACATGTAAGTAATTTAAAATTGAGAGGATAAGATTCTTATGTTTAGTCATTGGAGGTTGAAATTAATCTATGGTGTGATATATCAACATTTAAATGTTTTTTATACATTAAAATTATAAATTTTAATGAAACATTAAAATACATATTTTATAATCGATCGTTTATCTTTTTGAAGAGCACATTTAACCAGACAAATTAATTATTATCATGATTTAAAGTTGAAAAAATAAATAAATTAACAGGTTGATTCAAGTGGTAAACAACTTGATATTGTTTAAGTAGGCCTTGAGTACGAGGTCTTGTGTATGTAGAAAATTTTTGTTGGGAGACTCATCCACTAAAGTTAAGTGTGCGACGCAGATCGAATTAGTCAATAAATCGAGAGTAGAAAAAATGAATGGAATTATACGTTTTGATGACATGAAATTAGATAAAAAGTTGTAAAAATCCATCTTTTTCTATAAAATGTCAAGTTATTTTGGAAACCGATTCTTCCCTTATAGGAAAGAAATTTAAGTGCGATGGACCCTTTTCTCCCCACCACAACCTTTTAGGTTAATAAATAGTGTAAACTCACATGCATTTATATTTTCAAGTCAACAAATAATTATTTCGAATAATTTTCCCACATCAACATTTAAATAAAAAAAATATTAAACAATAGTTTAAAATTTTGCATCAATCAATAAATATTAAAATATATAATGCCCAAACGATGCTTCGTTATTTTTTATAAAGGTTCCATAATTATGACAATTTAATATAATTAATACATGATGAGTTGTAAGATTAACTCTTAATTGTTCTTTTAATAGTAAGTCAAAAAAATATTTATTAATGACATGGTCTGAGTGGGGGGAGGCCTTAGCTTTTGATTAGAGGAGAGTATTAAGAAGATGGAGGGTGAACTTAGTGCTCCAGTGGACGAGAAGACGGCAGTGGCGCCATCTCCGACGTATTGTGTCACCGGCGCCACCGGTTACATCGGTTCATGGTTGGTGAAGCTTCTTCTTGAAAGAGGTTATAAGGTTCATGCCACAGTGAGAAATCCAGGTTTCATCTCATTTCTTTATTATTATTTACATGTAATTTAAGTGTTTGTTAAGAATTAGATAGAAGGTTATATGAATATTAAGATGGGATTAAATTATCTGAAAAAACATTAGAGTTAAAAAAGAGAATATATATTAGACATGCATGCATATTTAGAAAAACATCATGGTGCAGTCAAGTCAGATCGAATTCAAGGTACGAGAAGCTCGAGTTCAATTAGGAATTCGAAGCTCGAAGTTTGAATCATGCTTGATCGAGTTTTGTTTTGAATCTCAAGCTTGATTTGAGGGGGGAAAAATCGAAGTATTAGGACACTTGATTGCTCTTGAACTTGTTTGATTAGGCTTGATTAAGATTGTTTATCTGGTGAAAAATAAGTTTGGTTCCAATGTTCCATCTTGAGTTCTAATTTGAAATTCTTGATACTAACTTAAAATGAAAGTGCACTACTATATTTTCGAGTTATTCGAGTCAAGCATCATGACCAAGCTGAATAAGATCGAATAAATCGGAACCCGGCATGTGTTTGTTGAACAGTTTTCAGTAAAAACTAAAATGAAGGCTGATGAAATTTCAGAAAAGGTTGTACATCTATTATCATTATGGAATGGAGGTGACCGACTGAGATTATTCAAAGCTGATTTGCTTGAAGAAGGGAGCTTTGATGAGGCTGTCAATGGCTGCAATGGTGTATTTCATGTGGCGGCTTCAATGGAATTTGATGCCAATTCGAAGGAGAATATTGGTAAATTCTGCATTTTTTTTATCTTCAAAGCATTTTCATTCACGTTTCGACAGTTCATCAATCTAACAGAGCATTTGATTTTTCCAAGAATCATATGTTAGATCAAATATCATTGACCCTGCAATCAAAGGCACTGAAAACCTCCTCAAATCTTGCTTGAAATCCAACACTGTGAAAAGGGTTGTTTTCACATCTTCCATAAGCACTATCACTGCTAAAGACAGCAATGGAGATTGGAGATCTGTTGTTGATGAATCTTGCCAGACTACATTTGATCATGTCTTGAACGCAAAAGCAAGTGGATGGGTATAAAGCTTTCTGTCTCATCTTTTAGTTCTTCCTACAATGAAATTATTACATACATGTATGTATATGTTTATATTGCTGATTTTCAACAGGTTTATGCCCTCTCCAAGATTTTGACTGAAGAAGCAGCATTCAAGTTAGCAAATGAGAATGGTATTGATCTTGTTTCCGTGATAACCACAACCGTAGCCGGTCCTTTCCTCACAACCACTGTTCCCTCTAGCATTCAAGTGCTCTTGTCACCAGTCACAGGTTATATCAGCAACAAGTTCCAATTTGTTTTCAGATTATAACATCATTAAAGAAAAGTCCACATTTTGGTTTTATTTATGCAGGTGATCCCAAGTACTTCTCGATACTGTCGGCTGTAAACGCTAGAATGAGGTCGGTTGCTTTAGTTCACATAGAAGATATATGCAGGGCACACATATTTCTGATGGAGCAAGCCAGAGCAGAAGGTAAATACATATGCTGCGTCCACAGTTGTCCGATGTCTGAACTGATTAATCACCTCGCTCGAGAGAATCCAAGCTCAAACATTCAGAGGTAAGGTTGTCGCTCAATGATCTTAGAAAAGATGAAATTCAGTAATCCGATATGTTCCCACTTTGGTTTTTCTATGGTTCCAGGTCGGAGGCCAAGGAAGAAAGTTCGAAACTTCCTGAGATTTCTTCGAAGAAGTTAAGAGATTTAGGCTTCACTTACAAGCATGATATAGAAGATATAATCCATCAAGCAATCACTGCCTGTGTAGATAATGGATTTCTGCCCCATACCAGAACGTGATACGTTGTGTCCCTACTTTCCTAACATCGCCGTAATCAAAATTCAAAGCATTTATTAGTGCATACAAGTACCTGGACCGAGTTTACCAAGACGTGAGCATGTCAAGCGGCATTAACACATCGAACGGCGTCAATTTCGGCGACAAACTTGCTCTATATTCTTACACCGTACTTAGACCAACTGATGTAAGTTGAGCAGTCTAAAACACTTCATGCTGACCGACTCATTTGCCTTCATGAAATGGGGAACTTGAGACATGGGCCACATAAATAAACAAAAAGACTGTTTCCTTTATTTATTTCTTGGAGCCTTTCAACTTTCCAATGACTTGTAAATTGTTGAAGAATGTAGACATAATCTACATCTTTAATGCAAAAGCTACTTCTTCAACTAACTCAACAAACCCTTTCCTTTAATGGTCCAATGTTGGTCATATAGATTGTTCTATCCCACTTTGCTTGATTTGGGACCATTTTTAGGACAACTTCAATTTTCTTACCAAACCTATTTTGGTTGACAATGGTAGCTTCAAGGGGTATTATGAACTCACAAAAGTTCTGCAATTTTATTCAGTTAGAGCCAATCCATGCCATTGCAGTCAACATAAGTACAAGGCACCTATGAACACGAGGATATGACCTTCCAGAAATCCTCGAATTTTCAACTCGGAAAATTTTAAGTATACCCTATGTCGAATATGTACCGGTATTTGATATTTATATCCGAGTTGGAGTCTAGAAAAGATTGGTTCAACTGAGAATGGCTCAGGAAGGTGCTGAATACTCTAAATCAGTTTTTGAATTGGAGGGAAATAAATATCTTTCCTTTGAGTTCATCTGCTTCCAAACTACCCCCAATCCAATATTTAAGACACAACTGGAAGGAAGTCAATATCCAGAATTTATGTTCTGTTCATGAGAGGGGGTTTGCATTCATTTATGACATGCATGTGCCAGAGAGCTTTTAAAACCTCCTTCTATTTAACCAGTGAAATTCATTGATTGAAATTCAAGAGAGCAAAACAATTAGGGGTTGTTTATTTTGTACCAGATTTGAGATTTTACAACAAAAATAAAAAGACAGAATTACAGATGTCTATGCTAATGTTTTTTCAAGATTTTTGTCTTGTTGGTAAGGGATTAAACAATGTTTTGAACCTTACACTCCAGCGAGGATCACGTGTACTCATGCTTTTGTATTAGCCAGTGGACAACATCAACATTCATTATATATTTTTGGTATAATGCCAAAATTAGCATCTACTGTTTACCAAAATGGTCATTTTGGCCTTTAAATTTTTTTCTCGAGCATTTTGGCCCCCCCAAACATTTATCAAAATAATCACTTTGACCTTTATTCTTTTATTCTGGAGCATTTTGGTCCCCCAACGTGTCATTTTAGGGTAGAAAACCTCTATTTTGGAGTGTTAACCATTTGTTAACTAATGATTATCATCAGTAGATCGACTTTTTATCCCAAAATGAAATGTTTGAGGTCCAAATGATAAAAAAAGAATATGGGCCAAAATTAGGAATGGCAACAGGGCGAGTTTTGCTCCTCCCGTCCCCGAAATGAATCCCCGCCCCCGCCCCGTCGGGGATTTTTTTTTGCCCCGAACCCGACCCGATCCCGAGAAAAAACCGTGCAATCGTAGTTTTCATAAAAAATAGAAAAAAAACGATCACAAAAAAGTTGGAAAATTAGTCTACATGATTTACAATTCAAACTACAATCACAAATTCAAACTTAATTCTAAATAATTGTCTAAACTCCAAAATAAAACACATACATAATTAAATACAAACTTGTTCCGATATTCAAATCAAACAATGAAGATGCATACGTAATACTAAGTCAAATAAAATCATCCAAAATCGTCGTGCCACTTTTGTCACTTTCTTTGGTAGTTTCCTACATTGAGAAATTTATCAAAAAATCAACCAAATTTCACTTTAATAATTATAAAAGCTAGGGTTTAGGGTTTGTATTATATAATTAATATAAAAAATATAAAATATTATATATATAATTAATATAAAAATATTATATATATAATTTATATATATATATATATATATATATATATATAATTGGGGCGGGGCATGGATACCTTGCCCCGAACCCGAACCCGAAAAAATCTCTGAATTTTATCTCGATACCCGACCCGACCCGAACTTAGCCGGGTTTCGGGTTTCCCCTTCGGGTTTGGTCGTTTTGCCATTCCTAGCCAAAATGCTAAAAAAAGAATAAGGACCCAAATGATCAGTTTGATAAACATTGGGGGCTAATTTTGGTATTTATACCTTAATTTTTTCATTGTTTTTCTTACAAGACAACACATAAACATGCTTGGATGAGTCCCATGTTCTTAATTCACTAATCAACATGACAATAATTAAACTTGTTCTCTAAGCCCTATTAAATACATAATCATCCAACTGGTTTGAATGCTTAATCAATAGTCAAATTATTATGCCATTGAATTTGATCAATTATTTTATTGTCATTCAAATCCTGAATTTGTCTGTATGTATGTGCATATCTTCATCTACAATCACAGTTCTTAAAAGAACAAAGAAGACATGAATCTGAGATGCACAAACCAGACATATTAGCAATTAACAAGAATGAGAATTCTTTCAAAAAAAAAAAAGGATTCACATAAACATCAGAGAGACAAATTCGAAGTGAAAAGCACTTGAAATTTGTTTTCTTCAAGGTTTGCAGATTACCACAAAACAAGGAAGGAGAGCTCTAGGATTGAGCAGGTAAAGTTCTTCGATGTTCGAATACAGACCGACTTTCCCGGCCAATGAATCGAATCCGGTTTGGCCTGCCATTTCTTGTATGTTCTCCAAAGGTCTATGGACTCTACCGGCTATAACTCTGCAAACTATCAGAGCTTTCCTTATAGATGGATCATCATCTTCAACAACTTGAATGGACTCATAAGCTCTTCCACTCGTGGAAGTTGTGAAAACACCGAGTCCTTCCTTGAGTTCCTTCTTGGCGGAGAATCCGTTTCGAATAATCCGACAAACACAACACTTTTCGGATATGCAAAGACTCGACGAGCCATTTAGGCCAAGAGAACACGCCACGGTCGTGCCATAGAACCTCAACAGCTCGTTTCCATCGGCAATGCACCGAGGGTGTTTCTTTGGGAGCTTGCTTGCTTTAATCTTCACCATCTCCCTGTATTCCTCGAACCGAGCCAGGGTTTTCTGCATGTTGTGGACTTTCAGAACCCTTTCGATCCGGCCACAACGGTTCTCGGACTTCAACCAACTCGTTCGACATATGATTTCAACAATCTTCCTCGATGAGTCACCTTCCACAAGCTCAGTAACTGCCATAAGATGGTGAATGCTTAACACAATGAACTAGCTTGACTTATTTGCAGAAAAATAAACTATATCTACAAAAGAGAATTTGCAGGGAACAAGAATCTAGTCCAAATTGAATGAAAAAGAACTAGGAAAAGGGTAACTAGGAAATAAGTTAAAAAGTGAACCTGTAAAGGAAAAATCTTGGATGTTCAATGGTAAAGGTAAATCTTAGAATGTTCATTTAAAAAAGGGGAGAAAAAGACTAAATTTTGTGGTGAGAGGGAGATAAGAAAACAATGGAGGAAAAGCAAAGTCCAAAAAGACAGTATTTTTAAAGAAATTCAGCCAATAAAAATACCAGCATGCTTAGAGAGATGGTGTGTTTCGGCGGCTTCCCATTTGGTAAATTGTTCTCCACATTTGTGACAAGAGATTGTAGAACATCCATTGGAGTCTGCCTCAAGTGGAACTCTATTGCTTGAATGAACATTTCCACCTCCAAATACAGAACTTTTCCTTTCTGATAAAAGGAAAGGCGATTTCCTTGGAGGAGTAGCAGAAGAATTCCTATTGGAATAATGCATTGTTGGGTGACCACCAGGCCCTGGTGTTCCAGGCATTAAGGAACCAACAAAAGTTGAGCCACCACCACCGCCTCCGCCGCCGGTGCCGCCACCATTGGTGGCACCATCTTGGAACCCTCCAAAGCCAGTGATTTTCAGCTCACACCTCGAGTTACTGAGAATGACTTCATGGGTTATCGGGTTGAGAAACTCACTGCTACCAATGGATCTCGGACTGCAACTCGGTGGCTTCTCTAAATGTCTCTTGCTTCCATGGATGACATCCTTGAGATTTGCTATGGACCTTGAACACCCAGACCTGCCTGCTTTCCTCGTCAATATTGTACTAAACTGCTTCCTGCTTTTAGGGTCATGAACATCCGATGGCTCTGATTTACAGTGTAGAGATCTCTTCAAAGAAAACCAAACTGTTGGCATATTTCTTCTTCTCCTCCTCCTCCTCCTCCAAAAACTTAAAAAACAAAAATGGATTCAACCTTGTGAAGAAATTGTTATGTCACTCTCCACCACTAGTTTTGTCATGGAATCTGGGCTTTCAAGCCTTGTATTTTACTCCTTTTCCCAACAATTTGCTTTCCATTTTTGGAACCATATGAACTCAGTAGCTCCTGTGGAAGAAAACATCATAAAAAAAGAACTGCAGCACAACACATGGTTTTTTTGTTGTTGAAAAGATTAATAAAAACGAGATAAAATAAATGTAAGCATCTTGTTCTGTACGGCAGTTCTTGCATGAAAGCTCAGCTCATCACTAACCATCATCCCATGAAAATATGTACTTCAGCCTTCTCTGATTAAATGGCTGTCCATGTAATAATAGGAAAAATAACAGATGAGCAATTGGTCACTAGGCCAAGGCTTCAAATAAAAATTTAAAAATATAGTTTAAATTCATATTTTTAAAAGTCAATTTAAATAATAGCTTAATACCATATTCAATGGTGAGATAATACGTGACATTTCTTAAGGAGCTATACTTTGAAAAAAAAACATATTTTATAATTAGACGAAAAAAATAAGAGATAATCAAAAATCATTTTAAACTCGTTTATTCTTATTTGTTTTTCAAAAATTATTTTTTAAAAATTAAAAAAATATAAATTTCAAACATTTCTATTTTAAAAACTCATATTCAAAAATAAAATCTAATTCCTAACTCTCAAAAAATAGTTTTTTTTTTTAAATCCTAAAAAAATAACAAGACCAAAGAAATTAGCAGTAACAGATAATGAGTTTTTAACATACGTAACAGATAAAATTTATTTATTTATTATTATTTTAACATGATTTTATGATAGTATTTATTTTATTTTTAATTCAGATAAAGCGCATACATAATTTACATATAATTTTATTTAAATCTAAATTATCTAAAATATATATATTATCATTTATCACTAATATCATTTATTGAATTCATAAAAGGTACGTTCAAAAAATATACCACAGGGTAAAGAAAAACAACTTTTTTTATCTTTATAACACCATTCAATCTTTATTTTAATTTTGTTTAAATATGTTTTAGTTTATGATATCTAAAATATATTAACCGAATTAATTTTTTATAAAAAAAATTATTTTTTGAAAATTATTTGATTACTTGGATAGGAAGTCTTATCCCATTTATTCTTATGATGAAAGCAATATTATTATAATTATTACCTTTGCATGGTAAGTTTATATACGGTATAGCAATTTATATTTGGAAAGTTGAAATGTAAATTAAGAGAACATTTTCCCAAGTGATTGGAGAGAGGACCGTTGACGCTAAAATTAATTGAGGTCTAATTGCGTCAGTAATCCCTGCAATGATTCGTTACCTTTTGAAATTAGTCCCTATAATCTGTAAAGATTAGACCATTGGAAAAAGTTCGTCCTTGTACAGGGACTCAATTTCAAAAAGTGATAGTACAATGACCTATTGGCAAAATTAGAACATTAGTTAAAAGTAGCTTTGCCGTGGGTGGCTTTTTAATCAACATACTCATAAAATGTCAAAAGCGTACGACGATATTTCTTTTTATCTTTCAACAAATGAAATTTATATTCAAATAAATAAAATTAAAAGAGTCTTTTAATTGAATTAATAAAACCATTCTCATCTTAAAATTTTATAATATTTAAATTTATAAAATCATATATATACACACACAGAGAATTTAAGAAAAAAGTAAGAGGTGCTCATGGCTTCCAAAATATTTTAGTCTAATAATAATTTAGATTTTTATGAATTTAAATATTGAATAATTTAGATTTGTTCCCAAATTTTGAGTATAAATATTTAATAAGGCCTTTTTATTTTCTAAAATTAATAATTTAATTTTTTTCGACGTTCAATCATGAATTTATTTGTGAGATAATTTTCATGTACGGCGGTCTAACTTAAAGCTTATTTACAGAGAATTTTAACCTACAATATTATTATGTTCAACCTTAAAAGTCATATAATTAGTAATAACATCGATTAAAAACGAGAATATTATATTGTGACGGGTTTTTAGCCTAAAATGTCACATATCTACTCTAAAAAATTATATAATTAGTAATAATTTATGTTACAATCAAACTTTTTAAGGACAACTAGATAGTTATGTAATTTACATGATTCATTATGAATAATATAATATTTTCAATTTTAACCTAAAATATTACTAAAATTATTCTAAAAATTTACGTTATTAATAAGTTTTTCCATTACAATTATTTTTAATTATTTTTTATTTTATATTAATTAATTATATTTTAATTATATACTAAGACGCAACACGTTAGCGTTTTCGAAAATAGAGTACTTAGAAATGGGAGTAAAACTCATAATTACCTTTGGACAGGCAATCTCAATGCAGCTTTTCAAAACACGCACAAATAACAATAAAGAAAAAAAAGTTGTGAAAAAGAGGCAACAAAATAAGAGTTTTAAAACGTTTTAGGATAAATTATAAATTTAATCATTCAATTTTTTCTTTTATTTTCATTTCCATCACTCAAATTCAATCAACGTAAAATTAATCTATACATATAGCTTCTTCTTTCTCCATCACCCTAATATTGGGATTTAGAATAAGATGTAGAAATTAAAAGGAATTCAAAACTAAGTTTTTTTACAAAAAAGAGAGAAAATTTTAGGGTTCATTCCATTATTTTAAAAGGAAAATGTTCATTCATAAAGCTCTTAATTATTTAACTACCAGAAATTCAATGAATAAAAAACTGAAATTTGTTAAACTTTAATGACCAAAATATGAGCAAGAAGAAAGTAGAGTGATGAAGTTTATAATTTACCTTCATTTTAGTATTTTTTTTCATTTTGTTTTTTGCTTTGTCACCTTCCACCTGTAGTTGTATTCAAGAGATGTGATTAATTGTTCAAATGGGGATAGCATTCAATGGTGTTTATGAACCAATTTAATGCTTGCACATGCCATTATGATGCTCCAACTTTGCCCTACCAAATTGCAATTATTTTTAAAGATAACAATTCAAACATTTGCAGCATTGACTAACTATAAATTGCAAATTCTACATTACAAAATACAACATCGACTAACTCTAATATATAGAAATACAATACAATTCAAAATTAAATTATGGGGGAAAAAATCACCAAAACCCAAATTAAGATTCAAATGTTGAGTTCATTTAAATTAATGGGAACAAATTGTTAAGTCAATCAGTTCAATTTATTTCTTTTATATATATTTAACCAATTAGATCTAACCACGTGACACGCATTCATGGTCTAAAATGATTTAATATTGAACATTTGATTAGTAAACTGAATTATTTTTTATATATTGTAAACATGCTTTCAATAATTAAAAGATCATATTTATTAAATTGATTAAATTAGTTGATTATGTACCAAAAACCAGTTAATCTAGGGGATGATGCACTAGATTCATTAAGAAATGTTAGCATTTCGAATACTAACGCTTGCTCATAAAAAAATGAGTTAGGAGAGTCTCTCATAATGAACCTCTATAAAACTCGATATGAAATAGTTGATCAATATATTATATACCGGTGGTTTAACGAAAAATAATAATTGATTATGTCATAAATTTCTTGACTTTGAGGCCCAAGATAGAAAATGCAGGTCTGATGTCCCATCTGGTATTTGGACTAACCCTAATTGTTTTGAAAATTGGGTTTTACCCTCTTTGAATTGCGGCCCAATATTTTGATGAAATATTTTCTATTATTTGGACTATTCAGCTCAATTGGTATAACACAAAGTTCTTAACATTGAGGTTGTGGGATCGAGTCCTACGGATGGCATTTCATAATTCAGAGGTCTTCTACGGAAGGTGCTCTTAACCTGGTGTTGGGGGCAGCCTACTATCTTACCTCCCCCTTACCCCATTACATTTGGGAACAAGGGACAACCATTTTATTTTCTATTATTTTTTCAGTTTGTGTAAACAATAAAATATTAAAAATAATTCTTATTCGTTCCTTGATATTAAAAGATACATAATCATCAATAAAGGGTGTAAATCTAAGATGATCAAAATCAAGAATCTTAACCAACAATCTGTTGGTCTAGTGAGATGTGACACTATATTTCTTAAGGTCAGGTTCGAATATTGATATTTGTGAATGAAGTAAATTAGGTTGAGAGGATCGTCTTTGCATTTGCAGTACTCGATCCATATTAGTGAGTCAATAGATCGGATACCGAGGATTATAAAAAAATATAATTAACTTGTAACATTTGAGATTAGAATTTTGCTCGTACAAAATGTAGATCAAGATCTACATGTCTAATATTGGCATGTAATATTCGATTATCACCTCCCATATCAGAACTTATTAGGGAAGATGAATATCTAGAACCTAGAGAGGTTTGGAAGATGAATTATATTCCTTTGAATATGCTTTATATGTTGACTTATTAGGTGTGTTGATATCATAACTAAGATTATGATTATTATTTGTAGACTAACATAGTATATTTATGCAGCTGTCAGTCAATAGATTTATTCCTAAAAAACATCTCAAGTTTATTAAAGGTATTGTAAATGAGTTTTGGTCGGTCGGAAACCTTCTTTATAGGAAAGTCTCTACATAGGTAGTCTTAGCAAGTAAATAAGTTAGTGAACGGAGGAGTCGTAATTTTGAAGGTATATCAATTATTTTTGGAGGTATAATAGTTATTCACATATGATTAAAGAATGTCATGAAATGACTTAACCCTGGATTTATTTGTATTCTAGTTCCCAAGATATGTTAGGATGCGTTCGGTTCACGAAATATAAAATTACCAGTGGAAATAAAAGATTATCAGGGAATAAGATTACTGAGAATGTTGTATTTTGTGTTTGGTTGGTTTAACAAGAATGCAAGAATGTCGTGTTTGGTTAAAATAATAAAATATTATTGGAATGTATATTTGATCAAATTGTCCTTATTATATATTTATTTTTTTAACAAGTTGGAAAATATTTATATATTTTATTTAAAAAATTTAAATTCATAATATATATATATATATATTATAAAATTAAAAATATAAAAAGGTTTAATGAAAGGGTAAAATTTTATTTTAACCTTTGAGCTTCATATAAAATTTTAATTATAGATTTTTTTTGTAAATCTAAAATAGTTTAAGGATAAATTTGTAATTTAACCTTCGTAGAATTTTTATTATTAAATGACAGAATAATGATATTTTTGAAAAAAAAATAATTTTAAGGGCATTTTAGTCCAAAACGCCGGTAATCATACAATACCTAAGGGAAGGGGATAATGACATTCACGTTAATATACCCCCAAAAATCACTATTAGTAATCTTACATTACCGGGAATGAGATTTCTGGCTAACCAAACGGGGGAATGTAGATTTCATTCCCATGAGAACCCCATATTCCCCCAACCAAACGCCCCTTAAAGTACACAAAGGATTTTTTTGAGAAAAAAATATTTATTTAACCTTTATCATTGTGCTGAGTAGGGGTGTAAATGAACCGAGCTTGAACAAACAAGGTTATTTTAGTGTTTGTTTGTTTAGTTTTTTAAGGTGTTCGGTTCGTGTTTGTTTAAAATTTTAATATCTTGTTCGTGTTCGTTTATTTATTTTTAAGGTGTTCGTGTTCATTTATTTAATGTTCGCGAACGTGTACGTTTTATGTTCACGAATGTGTTCATTTAGCGCACACAAGCATGTTCATTTAGTGTTCGTTTTGCGTTTATTTAGTGTTTGTTTATTGTTCGTTTATATATTCAATTTTTAGTTTTACCATTTCATTTACAAGCTAAAGAAAAATGATAAAATTACATCACTAGTGCTTAAACTCCTTAAAATTCACTATTTAAATTTCAACTTTTATAATGTGTTCAATTTAGTCTCTACCTTCACCAATATTTAAAATGTAAAAAATAAAAGAAAAAGGAGAATCGAGTAAACGAGCTTGTTTATGAACATAAATGAACAAGTCGATAAACGAGTTTATTCGTGAACATAAATGAAACCTCTATTTGTGTTCGTTCGTTTATTAAATGAACATAAAAAATTTAGTTCATACTCGTTTATTTAGCTTAATGAACGAACAGTTTAAGACATAGGCTCTCTCTTGAACCAAAGTAATTTTTGAATGAATTGATATGTAACGATAAGATAGGTTCAAATTATATATGAAGTCTACAACTGAACTATATCCAACAATAACCAAACTATTAAAAAACTGAACTATACAACTGAAGTGATTATTTGAAATCAAGGTCCCAATAAAAATTTCCCTTCTTAAATTTAACGAACCCGAAAACCCAAAGGTGGTGGAAGCGGTGTGCTGTTGCGATCTAATCCGTCTATTTGATCACCATCCAACGGATGATATAATGATCCGCTTTCTCTCTTCGCATTGGCTAGTTACTTTAAGATCTCCGCTATATATACCCAAAACAACCGGATTCTTTTATATTTTTCTTCTTCCCACGTTACTTCAAGCGCTTATATACATTAATTTCCATCCCCAGTCTAAAAATGGCTGGTCGGGGCAAGACTCTCGGATCCGGAGCGTCAAAGAAGGCAACATCGAGGAGTAGTAAGGCCGGGCTTCAGTTTCCGGTTGGTCGAATTGCTCGGTTCCTTAAAGCCGGGAAATATGCTGAACGGGTCGGAGCTGGAGCTCCGGTTTACCTCGCTGCCGTTCTTGAATATCTTGCCGCTGAGGTGCAATGTTTTCTTTTTATTATTATTTATATTTTCAATTTTTTTTGTAACCTAATCTAGGGTTTTGGGTTCTCACCTTTTTTTATTGAGAAAATTTCTTTTCGATATCACTTCTTATATCTTGAATCAACGATATTTTCAGCAAGATTATTCTGAAATCTGTTTTGTTTCTTTTGAAATTTGGGGTTTTAAAAAATATACCAAACTACAATTGAAAATTCCGTCAATTGTAAAATTTTATCAATCTCGATTGAAATCATTTGTTTATAATTCCAGGTCCTTGAGCTTGCTGGAAACGCAGCCAGAGACAACAAGAAAACCCGAATTGTGCCGCGTCATATCCAGCTTGCCGTAAGGAACGATGAAGAGCTGAGTAAACTACTGGGTGATGTGACCATTGCCAACGGTGGTGTAATGCCCAACATCCATAACCTTCTCCTCCCAAAGAAAGCTGGAACCTCCAAGGCATCCGGTGGTGATGACGATTAGATTAGATTCAAACGATCTCTCTCTGTTCTGTCATAATGCAATTCCCGAGATTGAACATTCTCGGATTTTAGTTTTGATTGTTGTTCTGTTAGTATATTTTAGGTGATTCGATGTCTTCTTTTCGATGAAAACTGAGCTTGTTTTAGAACCTAGTAGGTAGTTTAGGGTGTTGTAGTTTAAAATGTGAATATAATTAATCGTTAATCTTATTATTCCAGTTGGTTAATGGAAGAGGCTGTGACTCGTTCTTCTTGTATCATATCATTCCAAGGACTGAACATTTTGTTGCTTGTGTTGTGAAGCTGGATCTAAGCTCACCTGAAATCACTTGACCCAGTGGAAATTTTAAATTCTCTTATATTTTCTGTTTCATTTATTATTATTTTTTCATTTTTAAAAAATGTATAACTTTTCACCCTCTAAAACCTTTAATATAACTTTTAAATTCGTATTGACATTAATTTCTGTGTTTGTCTATGGTCACTGTTGATATATGTTTTCGCGTTTTTCGCATGAGTTTCAAATTAGAATAGTCACAACTCAGGTCTATATGATATGTGTTGTTCATGATTATTTTCTTTTTTTAAATAAATTTTAGGGGATAACGTTGCAACTAATCATTCAATGGTGTGGAATTATGTTAAAACCGAATATTAGCTGTATGTTCCTATTCTGCTCTAGTTTTCCTTTTACAATGGGCTCACGAGACTGTGGTCACCCCATCAAACCTACATCTCTAACATTCAAACCCCATATTCAATACCTAAACTGAACCAACCTCAAACTTAAGCCCAAATTATCCCCAACCCTTAAATTATGAAAATTAATCTTACCCGATTGTCACCCTCCTCTTCACTCAAACAACTAAAACAAAGATACTTTTATCATCAAAATCACTACCTGTTCCGCGGTGCCACCAATGCTTCAACTTAACATAACCGGAGAAAGTAGCATTGAACAGATTTGGGATTCAAACTTTAATACAAACAAACCCTGCTTTCTCTATTATTCTTTCTCCTCCAAAAACCAATGAAATTTTCCTCAAATGTTGGGTTTTAAATGAACCCTAAATTTAGTCCCATCCATAATACTTTACAGCAGCAGAATTTGACATTTTATGACGTGTTTTACCATCCAAGTTTAATCCCAATGATGAGATTTAGCAATTGGGTTGTTTTCAATGTCTTGTTCTTTATACCTTGAACAAAACAACAAAAATCTTCTTCCTTTCTCTTTTGCTGCAGGCCCCTCATATTTTTCATCCAAAATTTGTAGTTTAATAACTTTGATTACTAAAAATATTTATTATTATATATAGGGTAAATTATCCTTTTCATCCCTCAATTTTGACCTTATTCCTATTTTGTTCACTCAACTTTAAAGATTGATTTTTTCTCACTCTAACAGATTTAGATTTAGCTGACTCTATTCCCATATGTAATGGGGTGAGGGGAGGTAAGGTAGTAGGTTGCCCCCAACGGATTGAGAGCAGCTTCCGTAGAAGACCTCAGTCAGAATTATGAATTGTGGGACTCGATCCCACGACCACAAGATTAAGAGCCTTGCACTCTACCAACTGAGCTCGACGAGCAATATGACTTATTTTTTTAATATTTAAGTCGCATACTCATCTAGCCATCATTCCCAAAATTTTCGACTGTCCCACTCGACAAACTAAAAAATTACTAACCATCAGTAACAACAAGAGGAAAACAACATAAAATAACCAAAATTAAAAAAGAAAAAAGTTCACCTTTGCCTTTGGTAGATCTTCGACGATTAGAGTTTCTATTTCAAGATCCCAATGGTGAAGAGGCCCTTCTTGAGACAGAGAGCTACATATTTCTGTTCGGGCTCTATCCAATGGAAAGAGATGAAGACAAAAGAATAAGAAATCAAAGCGGTTAACTCTAGATTAGTGGAGTTTGAGGTATTTTCCAGTTAAACATACAGTAGATTGACGTTCATGAGGGAGAAAAGAGTTTGGTTGAAGATTTAGAGATTCAACGATCGCCGTCGATGATGGTGGTTGGTCGTGATGAGTGGTGATCAGAATCTGGATTGATTTGGACATGGAGAAAAAGAGAAGAAGAGAAAAAAATACTTTTATAAGGATCCAACATGACATTGTTTTGGTTTAAATTTTACTTTTCAGTATGAAGTTGAAACAAAACTGTTTTGGTATAAATTATTATGTCACCACATCATTTATAATTTAACAGTGAAATGACAAAAAAAAAATCAATCTTTAAAACTGAGAGATAAAATTAAAAAATTTGAGTGACCAAAATAGGAACGATGTCTAAGTTGAGTGATGAGAAGCATATTTTACCCATAAATATCCGTCGAGCTAAATATTTTGAACCGGCCACTTATTTAAGTAAACTAATTAGAATAATCATCTGACATGTGCTTAAAAGTGCATCCCACGCACACTGGCCAAATATAAAATCCAAAACTAATTATTTAATTAATTAATATACATTGTTTGTTGGATAAATTATAGATTAAACAAAAGTACTAAAGGACAAGAGCTTACATGCAAGACAAAGAGGAAAATGCTTTGTTAGCAATACAGAGCGTAGATCATATCAATGTTTTATTTATTTATTTATTTCAATAACTAAACTTGAGATATGAATTTTAAATAATATCAATAATTTGAGGGTTTTTTATAATAAATAAAAATTTGGGTCTTTATTTATATGGTGATTTTTAATTTGGTGACCATCAACTTTAATTTCTTAGTGTACCAAACTATATATTATTTGGCAATTGTATATTGTTTTCTTCACACCTAACGTTTTAGTTTATTTAATTAATGACACGAATCAAACTACTTTAGTAGTTAAAGAAATCATTATTATTTCAAGAGGTTTAAGGTTCGAGCATTAGAAATTGCAAGAGTGTTTGAGCTTTAGTTATCAAATGATTAAGAATCTTTAGAATGAATATTACATTGTAATCACCATAGACTAATAATTTTTTTATTTAATTAATAGTTTTTTTACCACATAGACGAATGCATTAAGCCCTCCAGGGAAGTTAAGTTCATTCCTATTATTTTAAAAAATAGTTAAATGTAGTTAAATATGTTAAGGAAAAAACCAAAAAAAAACTCATACCTATTTTTTAAGAAAAATATTAAATATTTAGATTTACGCTCTTAAATTTTGGATCCGTCACTATTTCATCATGCATTAAATAAAGAATGTTGCAAAAATAAAATAAAAAAGAAGCAATTTTCCAAGCTTAATAATACCTTGCATCATCTTCAAGTTAAAGCAGGAAATATCAGTGGACAGTTCTTTTGCTTTGCGAAGAGGCAATTCCATACCATAAAGTCAAAATTCCACCTAAATGTAACATTAACTCATCAACTTTGCTCACATGCAAAACCCTAGCTTTGTTGCTCTCTAATTTATGTTCATACATGATATTTTTTTTAACATTAAGATCTTCATATATGTTATTAACTTATTTTCATTGAGCAATTGTGTATGCAGGACGTATGAATTGTCAATAGGTTAAAAAAGTTCTGAAATATACTATTTTGTAGTTATCTCATACTATTAAAAAAATTTAAGACCATCGCACACGTTTGTATTCGTATTAACACGTATTTTTAACATGTAAACGTACATATTTTGGGGACAAAAATAAGCTTATGTTATTCTAATCCATTTTTTATTCATTTTAATCTGTCTATTTTTTTAAATTCATTCAATTTAATCCATAATTTGTCCTAAAATCATATACAACTATGCATGACTTCCATCAAGGGCAGAGCTTAGTGAGGGCCTAAAGGGGTCCCGACCCTTGTTAAAATTTATATATTCGATAAAATTTTCGTCTAATAGTATTTTGGTTCATGTAAAATTAAATATTTAAATTGAAAAAAAAATATAAGAATTTATTAAATATTTAATCAATTATGGACTGAACTAAAGAAGGATAACCTTGTGTTATCAAAATTTTTGGTCTATTAAAAATTTAGGTCATTTTAAGTTTTAATATTACACAAATTAAGTGTTATCTTGTGATTTTTGAGTTTTTTTAAATAAATCTAGGGTGAATATAAGATAATATATGTACAAAGACTCTAAACTATTTGACAATGAACGCTCATACCCTACATGCTCAGTGCTCGAACTCGAAACCTAACAACAATCCCTTAATCACTAAGGTCGTTTAGTTCGTGCTGAATTTTGAGTTTAAATACCTAAAAAGTGTTTATATTTTTTTTAAATAGTCTAATATTTCAGCCCCTATTAATATTTAGTTATGACTCCGTCACAGCTTCCATGATAATTTTTTTAATTTCAAATATGGTGATTTTGAAGAAATAAATTATTCAATAACGATTTTATAAAGTGTTATAGACTTTGACTTTATTATCGAATTATCTGATCAAATTCAGTTGACAAACAAATAATTAATTCCATGAAGAAGTTTTAAAAAAAAGGCAAGACATGAATATCAAACAATATTATAAAAGAAAGGCAGTCTTTTTTTTCCTTCTATTAGGCGAAGAACATCCATCAATGTTGGGGGTAGAGATTAAAGCTGGTAAGTGACCAAAAATAGCAGAAATCCATGCAAAATCTATATCTGTCAATGGAAAGTGAGTTATTGGAAACCGACATGGGTAAACAAGAAGCCTCTCTTTGGAAGACAAATGAAGAAGATGAAGAATTACTCTATGTACCAAATTGTTAAAGGGATATGCCAACCATCCTTTTTTTTTAACATATTTTCAATGTCGAAACCCTAATTACTTCATGCTTGTATTTAGGAATTATTAAGATTTTATGTCAAACTTATAAAAAGGGTAAATTACATAGTTAGTGCCTAAACTATCAATTTTGATTCGATTTAGTATCTAAACTTTCAATTTTTTCATAACCATACCTAATGTTTCCTTTTTGTTTCATTTTAATACCCGTCGTTAAAAACTTAACGCATTTAGTACTTAAACCATCAGTTTTGATCCATTTTAGTCCT